GATGGCAAAGAGGAAGCTATTCGCGTGCGAGTTAGATGCATTCTGGGGGGATGATGAGGTCCTGAATGGGTGTGTAAACGTACAGGAACAGCGTGCTTGTCCACTTCACAGCACTCGCGCCTCTCCCTCTCCTCTTCCGCCGATCTCGGAAGATATCAGCACCCTTAGGTGGCTCCTTGTGCGCCATCCACTCGGACTCTACCCTCTTTTTGGACAGTAGACACATGTCTGCCGTGGAGTCGTCTGGCCGGTCGATAAACGAGGCAATGGCGTCCCCGACGGTCAGCAGCGGCGGCTCGTCCTTCCACCCGAACGTGCAGGCCAGCATCAGCACCGCCTTGAGCAAGTTCAGCACGATGACGGTGATGAGCAGGTCCCGACTGAACTGCAGCTTGCAGTGCTCCTGGGACGGCAAGCTGTAGCAGTACTCGACGGGTTTGTCAAAGAAGGGCCTCCACGTTCCGGCCCTGGCGTCGCCACGGGCTCGTGGGAGAAACTCCTCGCATCTCCTTTCGCAACGTTGGTTGCCGCTGGTCCTATAAACCAAATCCTCGTATTGCAGGCACATCCACTGGAACGTCTGGGCGGTGGGACACCCGACTCCGTTGATCCTAGCCTTCACATCGCCCGGCTCCCTCATGAGTCCGAAGACGGGCTCGGATGCGTTGGTGGTGGTCGCTGTCACGAGCACCAAGTCGCTGTTCGTGGACTGGAAGGGCTGTGCATAGGACGAAAAGCAAGTCTCCGTGTCCAGGCGTTTGAGTATGCCCTGGTTGATGGCAGCTCGCAGAGGCTCCAGTTGATTGCCTGACTTCTCTAGCGTTTTAGGAGTGATCAGGGACCGGTCTCCTGTCGCAATCCAGCCTTCGTTCATTATCCAGACATTGTACGTGTTGGCCGAGATGGACTGGAACACGACCGAGTTATAGCTACAAAATCAGTCAGTCCCCAGGATTTCTGTCTCGGTCTCTGGTATCTGGGCAGCTCACAATAGATGCAAAGGCAGTGAAGACAAGGCCAGAAGTAGCCACAGCCGCGTCCGCCGCCCATCAACATCCCCCTGGGCGATGTTTCTCAAGCTGGACACGCCAATGTCCATCCATCGCCGTTCCTTGTGGACGCCGTCGACCTCGGACCTCGTTGGGGCCGAGAGGCATTGCATGCAATAGTTGCTCCCCGCCAGCAAGACGGTGCTGAGGGCGTTGATCAGGACGTGCATGGCCATGTTTAGCCTCTTGATATCGGCGCAGTTGTTCTCGGCGACAACGCCCATGCCATTCGTGACCTTTCGGCTGGTCATGGCCCATATCGCAAATGTGAGGTTCGCGATGAAGGTGAGAGAGGCCAAGCCGGAGAAGAGCAGCGTGCTGCGCCGCCATCCTCGCTGCCTCCATGCCGCGCGCAACTGCCTCAACATGGCCGCCATGCGGCGAAAGATGGACACTCGTGCGTGCCTCGGAGTGTCGTCGGGTACATGTAGGATGCGAGAGAGTTGAGATGGGATACACCCCAAGTCTAACGCACGGCGACGCGCTCCTTCAAATGGCTTCAAATAGCCGCCCCCTCCCAACCATCGAGGCTGAGGCTGCTCAGGCATCCACGTTTCAGGTTTTAAGGGACGGGAGGAATCAGGATCGCCAGGTTACCGGTAATGCAAAGCACCTCTCTTTCCCCAAATAGACCAGTGGCTGCTGACGCTTCCAATCCATAGCCACCGCCGTCCTCTTCGTCGCGGCGAGAGTTGCCATGCCTGCTGCTGGTGTTTTCGTTGCGACCTGAAGCGGGTGTGTTGAAAATGTATTGTGAAAATGGGGAAAAGGTGGTTGATTCGGAAGCCTCCGCAACCCGGTGAGTGCCCGCCCCATCTTTTGCCCCAACCGGGCAGTCTTGCGAGTTCACGACTTCAACATCTGATGAGCCGACAATCCCAGCACGAACACAACAGCCAGAGCCGAAACCCCCACGGCCACCCACCCAACCACCCCCACGTACGCCACCAGGCTGAGCGAGAGAAACATGAAAGCCACCACCACCAGCAGATGCAGAACCACCGACGCCGCGAGGCCGAAGCGGTCCCACGCCCTGCCCCAGGTCTCGTCGCAGATGCCTTCGGCCCTGTGCCGGCGCAGGACCAGGATGCTCGACGAGTACCCTGCGACGGCGAGGGAGAGGGCGAAGCAGAGCCAGGCGATGCCCAGGAAGGTGCGTACCGTGCGGAGGTCGAACGGGGGCGGCGCGGGCTTCCAAATGTCGACGGGGTCGGCCATCTGTCCAGCAATGATGGCAAATGTGGAGGCGCCGAAGAGGGAAATGCTGAGGATGAAGGAGATGAAGGTCTGGAAGTCTCTGACGGATTGCTCAACGTGCGGATCAGACTGGCGGGTCACCGGCTGCGGGCGGGCTGGTCCGATGAGAGGAAGCTTGCGGCTGGCCACCGCAGGTCGCAGCGCGGCGTGGGCGGCCGGGTGTGATGCCGGGGACGCGGTTGACATGATACAGCCGGGGCGTGCAACGCTGACAGATAAGGCTGTTGGAGATGATGTGGTTGTGTATTACCGAGTTGAAGAACGAAATCCGTGTAACCTACGCAGTAGACGGTCAGGTTTGGGAGGAGGCCTGAAGCCCCCCTCCATTGGGATACGTCAACCAGATTTCCACCCCGACTTATCCCATGCCAAAGCCCGCAAGGCTGCCAAAGACATTATTTTTGTGACGATGTCATGTGACTTAAATATGCTTCTCCCTTCTGCTTGCTTCGTTTCGAGAGAACTATTGCTTCAATGGTTCATGAACTTGCGGGCAGGCCATCCTGATACTCTCTTCCTCTTCCCCTTCAACCGACTCACCCCAATATTCACTGCTAGAGTCTACGGATAGGGAGAACTTGAAGACAAACCCGGGACTGAAAACCAAGTCTACGGATAGGGAGAACTTGAAGACAACCCCGGGACTGAAACCCAAATACCTACTGTGTTTCCACCTGAGTCTGGACATCAAGCACGGGGAATGTCCTGTTCAAGTCAGCATTACATTATCCCAATCCCGCTCTTCCTCGACCACAAGAACCCAAGACACTCACCTTCCAAGCCTCCTCCATCCCAGCACTCCGCACCCAGTTCTCACCCGGCGCCTCGACCGAGTCGACAATCAACCCCAGCAGCCTTTCCCACAAGTCATCCCCCTTGATCATGAACCGATCCGCCACCGGAGTCCCTTGGTACGCCCGACACACCTGCTGGCAGATGAGGGCCGCGCGACCAAGCTTGATGGCGTGTCCGTCGTCGGCAAAGGTGTGGAGGCGCGATATGATGTCTGTCTCCCATGTCAGTCACGGCTCTGATACGCAGCGGAAAGGAAACTCACCGATGGGCTTCACCCCGTTCCCAGCTTCCACGCACTTGGGCTGATACCGCCGTATCCTCTCCACATCGAGGTCGGGACACCCCCGCGCCGCATACTGCAGCAAATCCATCCTCATCTTCCACTCCAGCAACCTCACCTTGGCCGCCGTCGGGATCCACTCCTGCTTGTTGAGCGTCAGGAAGATGGGCGCCGCGTTGACGTGGTGACTGCCCGTATCAGCACCCCCCCACACCCCCCAAAAAGGAGATAAAAACTCACATCAAAAAGAAATCAAACCTCGGCCCCCTCCCCCACCTCCCCCCCTCCAACGCCCCCACCGCCGCCACCCCCACCGCCCCATCAAACATCTCCGCCGTCCTCGCATCCACCTCCCCCCCGTCCACCCTCACCCTCCCCGCCAACGCCACCATCTCCCCCATCGCCCTCCCCAGCACCCCATCCCTCACCTTATTCCCATCCTCCCACCTCGGCGCCCCCCGCACCTTATCACACCCCCTCACCGCCGCGTACAGCTCCCCCATGCTCTCCCCCCCACCCTCCCCGGTGGTGGTAGCGGCCCGCTCCGCCCCCACCAAAAACTCCCTCAGCCCCCCCCCGTCGGAATGCACCGCCGCCCACGCCAGCGCCTCGGCGACGACCGCCGGCTGGCGGAACTCGACGCCGTACAGGAGCTGGATGAGCGGGTGCAGGAAGCCGGCGAACAAGCGGACGAGGAGGGCGTCGGCGTCTGAACTACCGGAAAACAGGTACGTCTTCAAAACGTCGGGCCAGCCGCCCGGGGAGTTTGCGATTTCGAGCTGGAAGAAGCGCAGGAAGTCGGGGTAGTACTGCTCCTTGCCGAGGTACGACGGGGAGGCGGTGGGGTACGAGGTTTGCAGGGCGACGACGACGGAGGACTCCGAGGCGGATGGGGAGGGGGGGGGGTGCAGGGGGAGGGCGGGGCGCTGGTAGGATTTGTTGGAGGTGTAGGCGGCGGACAGGGCCGAGGGGGGGGCGCCGGTGGAGAAGAGGGTGAGGAGGTGGTGGGGGATGTGGTTGTGGAAGCCGGAGTTGTTGAAGAAGACGTGGTGGGTCTGTGGTGGGGGTCAGTAAGGGGGGAGAGTTGTTTGGGGGGATGGGGCACGGGCGTACCTCGAGATCCTCCTGGAGAAGATCCGAGATGGTTTTGGCTGCTTCTTCGGTCTGCTTGACCGTCAGCAGCCCGGTGTCTTCGGGGGTGAGGTGGATTTTGAAGGGCGTTGCCGTCGTCATCTTGGTGGCTCTGGTGAAGCTGAAGGTGCGGTGGGTTGCCCTCGACGAAAAGGGGGGGCGGGGTGGCTTTGCTTTGATCAAGATGGTTTGGATCGCTCTGTTTCTGGCGATGGAGATTCCCATACTATTTGACTCCCTCTCAGGTTGAACCGACTGGATTCTACGGATACGGAATACCCCAACGACTCCTCCCTGGGGTTGTACAACTCGCGACTGACCGGTCTGGTTGCTGGCTGTCACATTGTATGTTGTATGACGACATCACAGTGCACAACACACACCCATCACAAACACCGTCCAATTCGCACTGTGCACCACCACCAAAAAAAGGCGAGCCTAGACCCGGCAGACCAAAGTCCACCGAGTCCAGGCTCATGATGATGTGTTGGGAGAACTGGGTGTCGAACCCAGGACCTCAGGAATCACTCGTTGCTTTAGGTTTTCGTTTCGCTGAGCGACTACCACCTTTAGGTGATTTTAGGTGGAAAAACACAAAAGCAGATTCGCTGCGCTCTACCCACTGAGCTACCCCCCCAAGTTGGTGACCGACAGCCATGGAAGACTGAGGGTGAAGAGGAAAGGAGGAAGGGAAGGAGGGAGGAGGGAGGACGAGCATTATATATGAGAGGGAGATGGTCAATGCTCTGGTCAATGCTCTGGTCAATGCTCTGGCTTGCCCTAATCTGCCTGCGCTATCATTTCCTGTAGAGAGGGGGTTGACGTGTTGATGACGTGGTTCTGACCGAGGTGTTTCAAAGTGGCCGAGTTGATCGAGGTGACTCGAGATCGGTGATGGACATACCGTCGAGCAATGTTGACAAAAAAAGGCAGAGGCGGACCCCAAAGTCGACGTCCCGTATGGTGGTGGAGGTGGTGGTGGTGGATGACTGCAGCCAAAACACCACGACTTCCGAGTCTGCCACCTTGGATCGCTATCGCCATCACTTCATTTGACTGCCAGCTGCATCACTGCACAAAAGTGGGGCGGCCAATGACACCTCGGAATATCTTGGGAGAAACATGTGTATCCCTATTGTCACCCCAGGAATCCCCCTCCCCCCTATCCCACCCCTGAATCCAGCTCAACACTAAACATGGATCCGTACATCTGTTCATCACAAAATGCAAAAAGACGCCCGCTAGGTCTATGCAGTCGTGAGTTCTCTCAAAGACACCGTTTGCCCAAAATGCAACCGTCCCTCCCATCCTCATTATTCCTTTTCGCCCTTGACCGCTCGCCCGCCCGCCTTCATCACTCATGCCGACTCGGACTTCGCTGGAGACGTCTGTTGGACCGATCCCTGATGAGCCTCTGCGACGTCGTCAAATCATAGCCTATTACCCTCGTCAAATAGTAGAGCCTGCACCACCACAGATTAGCAAACCACCAACGCACGCAAGACTTCCAGAGCCACTCACTTCTCCTCGGTAGCCTCCTTCTCCCTCAGATCCTCCCACCGCTGCAGACACTGCACCCACGCCGCGGCCCGCTGCTTGGCGTCGATGCGCTTGACCGTGAACCGGAACCGCCCGCTCACCGGCCGGTGGTCCGACACGCGCACCTCGTGCCGCTTGTAGTCGAGCTGCTCGATCCGCCCCCGGCTGCTGCGGTACAGCAGCCGGTCGCACCACGCCGGGCTGCGCTTCTTCTCGCTCGTGTCGTACGTGTCCGTGCCCACGTCGTACTTGTACGTCGGCGCAAACGTGATGGGCATCTCCTCAAACGCCCGCAGCCGGAACCCGGGGTTCCGCCGCCGCGCCACCAGCAGCTGGTCCCGCTCGAGGAGCTTGCCGAGGTTGCCCATCTTGACCGCCATCACCACCGTGTCGCGGCTCATCGTGTCGATGCGGTAGTTGAGGTCGCCGTTCAAGAGGCACAGCTCGTGGTCGAGAACCATGCTGCCGTCGCCCCCGCCGACGTAGCTGTCGGTGCGCGCCGTCGGGTCGCGCTCGGCCGGGAACACGGTCGCCTCCAGGATCGCCGCCACGTCGTTGTGCCGGTGGTTGGCCCCGGACTGCCCCGCCGCCAAGTGGCAGTTGATGAAGCAGAGCGACGAGTCGTCCACCTTGAACCGCACCACGATGGCTCCCTTGTTTCCGTGCAGACCCCCCATGCCCCGCTTGACCTCGGCGCTGCTGAGGTTGCTGATGCGCGGGCGCAGGTCGGCCTTGACGAAGATGCACGTAAACAGGCCCACCAGCGGGGCTGTGTGGAGGAGCTGGTAGAGGCTCCCCGGCATGTAGTCGTCGAGGCATCGCGCGAGAAAGTCGCGCCAGTCCCGATACTGGTGGCTCATCCGTTCTTGGTCTGTGCCTTCCTTCTTCTTGGGCTTCAAGAAACGCTCTGTGGCGAGTGTCAGCAATGTGGCAAGCCAATGGAATAAACGGAGGATACTCACTGGCTGTGGCCGTCTTGTCCTCGAGGTCCACAAGTTCTTGGAAGCCAAAGATGAGGATATCGGGAGTGCCGCTGCTCTGGAGGAAATTCTGGAAAAACCCAGCATCGCTGTCCGAGTACCGCAGGCTGTTTGGGGTTGAAGCGCCCGCATTCCACGTGAGCACCAGAACCTTGAGCTTCTCCATGGTGCAGTACGTCGTATCCATGTTCTTCATTTCGCCGGACAGCCAATCCTCCTGCAAGAGCCCATCCCAGGCGCGCAGCATGTTATCCGCACCGAGCGACACCACCTGGAACCGGTCCAGCTTGTACATGCTCGAGGGGTCGGCAATCAGCTTGACGACTGGGTTATCGTGGGCCTGCCAGTCCTTCTTAACAGCCCACGGCGTCTGACCCATATCGAAGACGCTAATCCTTCCTGTATTATACCCGGCCCACAAGTACCGGCCGGCGCCAGCCAGCGAGTTGATCTTGTAGCCGCTGACGTTCACCACGCTCAGACACGAGTAGTCTGCGCTGGAGTAAATGCTGACTTTCCCGTCGCCATGGCCGAAGAACACCTTGTCCGGGTCTGATGGGAGGACGGTGCCCGAGGTGACGTCTCCCGCGCTGTCTTGGACGAGCGGGCGAAGGAGGACCTGGAATTGCGCCCTGCTATCCAGCCCTGGCAGATAGACGCGGATCTCTTTGCCCGTCGCCAGCCACAGCTCATCGCCAACGACCATGGAGAAGGAATGCCCCCTGGTCACCCGGAAGGACGAAGAAGGACCCCCGACTAAAGACGGTGTATAGGTCTCCTCATCGGGAATCCAGACATGAAGGGTCCCACCTTCGTCAAGCGTCCACAGGTCGTTGAAGTGCCTGTAAATCTTGATGATTTCAGATCGGCTGTGGGCAGTTCTGCTGCTGATGATACTCTGCGTCGCGACATCGGCCTCCATGAGCTCACCGGCGTTGGTCCCGATCCATACTCTCTGGGCCTCCTCGTCCACGTTGGACCCAGGCTTGAAAATCACAGCCGAGCCCTTCATCCCTTCACCCATGGCCAGACTCATCACCTGCTCGCCATCCGAGAGCCTCCATGCCCGTGTGAATATACCCGTGGTACAGACAAATTCCCCACAGACGTCAAATATACGACTGTCGTATTTTGTCGATATTTCGTACACCCCTTTGCCGAGGTATGGCTTGCTTCGGTTGGTATTGGACGTGTCTGGGAAGGCGGCGATGGCTGGGGCGGCCGCGTCTTCAGCCCTACTTGAGCCGCTGGGCAGCGCTTCTGGTATTCGAGTCTCGACCGGTGCTGGGATGCTTGCCTGTGAGCCTCGGTAGGGGCCCGCCCCTCTGGTGGAGAGATGGTTTATGGTCATGGACCTTCCATGTGTCCTTGTGGGGGGCGGAGGCATGGTCGTTGTTGGGGTCGAGGATACGCGTTTCTGAGAGGCTGCCGGGACGACATCGTGGTTGTTCGTGTTGAGACTAGGTCTTGGAGGGCGGGGTGGGGCCGGGCCCAGAATGCTCTTGGTAGTCCGAGGGGCTTCTTGTTGTGGTCGTGCTGGGAGAGCCGGCGGCTGGTCGCCGCTGATCTGGGGCGTGATAGGTCCCCTTGCCACACCATTCGACTCCTCCCGGTCTCTCCTCCTGCCCGCCAAGGAATGATGGACTGGAGGGGGCTCGAACCCACTGCCGTGGAAAGTTTTTGATCGTGCCAGTGGTTCTGGGGGCGAGTGGGACTTCATGACTGGCCTGGGGCGAGTTGGCAGCATTGGCGGGGAGTCGTCCTCTGGACTGCCATTGCTACTTGGCGGACTGTTGAAAGGCGAAACCCTGTCGTTGTTCAGGCGCGTCTTGATCTCCAAGGCCTGACTAGCATCTGGAAGATACGAGGACCGCGATGGAATCACCGGTTTCTCTGCCCTGTTCACTGGCGGGGGTGTCGGCTTTGCCTCCTTGAACTCCTTGTCGCGCCGGAGTTCGGTTGATCGTCGTGGAGGCGGCGGTGAGGGAGGTTGAGAGGGCGTGAGTCTGGGGGACTTGCGAGGCTCGAGTACGTGAGTCCGCGGCTCGAATATAGGGGTATGTGGCCGACTGGGTATCTTAAAGTTCCTCGGCCCTGTTGCAGGAGACTGCGGCTTGACCAGCGAGTCGGTGTTGAGAAAGCCCACCCGGTCAGTCCCCACGGCATCCCCGATCCTCCTTGGAGGGGACTGCGGAGGTTCGATATGGAGCGACGGGGGCGCCCCTGGGCGCGGGCTGAGCGGAGCGAGACCATGCACCGAGGGCGATTCGGGGCCTCCGTTGGTCGCGCCCAGCGACTGCAGCCCTGCTAGGTGTAGTTTGTCCTTGGGCCTCATCTTGGGAACCGAGGGCGCTTCTCGGGTCGTCGGCGGGGGCGGCTGGGGCGCCGGGTCGCGCAGACCTTCGGGCTTCGGGGCAGGAGACACGGCTCGGGGGGCGGGACCGGAAGGGGGTGGAGGACCAGTCGGGGTCTCGCCGGGTTTGGTCATGTTCTCGAACTTTGCCCTTAGCGACGACACTGGTTTCTGGTCTTGTCAGCAGGCGTCGGGACGGCCAGGGGGGGCAGAGGGGGAGGGGAGGGGGGGGGCTCACGATCGACGAGCCATCAGGCCCATTGCTGGCCGGAGGGTCCATGGCGGCGACGGCCGTTGGTGAAGTGACGGTATGCTGTGCCCATAACACACGCGGCTGCCAGTGTCGCTCATAAGAAGTCCCGGCAGCGGCAACGGCAGCGCGACAGAGAAGCCAAGGTCCAGGAGTGGGTGGTCTAGACTCTGAAGAGAGAGGTAGCGGTAAACGAGGGTGTGGCCGTTGGTAGGGCCCTGGGGTGGCTGGCGACTGGTGACTGTTTGGTGGCCAGGGAGGGAGGGAGGATAATATTATGGAGTCGTAAAGTCGTGGGCAATCTGGACGCTGGTTGGAGATCAACGAAATTCCGATGAGGGGAGACACCACAGAGTTCAAGACATGGGAACCAGGGGGGTTCCAAGGTTGCCGGCCGTGGATGTGGGGAAGTCAAGTACCGCGCTGTCCTGGTTTTTCTGTAGCGCTCTTACAGCGGGGGAGGGCCTGGATCTGGACCCTAACCCAGAGAGATGTGCCGCGAAAAAGAAGCTTAA